GTGTAGAAGACCTTGGCTGCACAGCCCTTAGGCACTGCTAATCGAGGGGGAAAGCATGGGCTATCAGTACATGGTACCAAAGCAGTTAATGCTATGTAAATATGGAAAAATCAAATTAAATCTCCTATTTTCATTACATACAAAAATAAACCACACAGCAGACTCAGAGACTCCAAGAATGAACTAGTGGTTACCAAAGGGGAGGGGTGTGGGAAGGTAGGTGGGGAGGCAGGGAGAAAGGGACTGAGGGGTATTATGTTTAGTACACATGGTGTGGGGGATCACGGGTAGAGCAGTGTATCACAGAGAAGGGACAGAGTGGATCTCTGGCAACTTGCTGCACTGATGGACAGTGACTGCATTGGGGTATGGGGGGGATTTGATAATATGGGTAAATGTAGTAACCACATTGTTTTTTCATGTGAAACCTTCATAAGAGTGTGTATCAATCATACCTTAATAACAAAATTTTTTAAAACAAACAAACAAACAAACAAACAAACAAACAAACCCAAGATGGATCGAAGAATCATATGGGCACATGAAAATTAAGACCGAAGGGTAAGAAAAGTTTTCATAAGACCATAAAGTAATTTGGTTATGGGAAAAAAAAAATTGGTAAATTTTTAAATCAATTGTCAAAATTTATTTTTATCAGTTGCTAACATTTGATAAATTGTCAGTAAAAGGTAAGATGATATTTCATTCCATTAAAATCAGGGACTTCAGTGCATAAAAGTCACCATAAAGTGATTATGAGAGGATATATCCTGAATTAGCATACAGAATATATGATGAATGCCTAAGACAAAGAAGAAAAAGCCAAATAAGCCAATAAAATAGTAAGCTAAGGATATGAATAAGCAATTCACAGATTAAAACATTAAAAATTGCTTGATCTCCCTCTGAGTCAGGGATATGCAAATTCAAATCACAATGAGATATTTCACATACTTCAGATTAGCACCAATTAGGTCTGAAAATACTAAATATGGGTGAGAACTGTTAAGCAAAGGGAACTCTCATTCATTACTGGTGAGAGGGCAAACGGGTATGACCACTTCGGAGAGCAATTTAACACCACCTAATAAATCGCAAAAGCATGCGGTACTCAGACTAGGCATTTCTCCTGGGAGGTATGTGCCCCTGGAGAAATGCACCAGGGGCAGCAGTACGAGTGTTTATGGTAGCTAGGTTTATCACTGAGAGAAGAAAAGAAAAGAAACACCTCGAATGTCCATTAAAAAAGATAACAGATAATCCGTGATGTATCACACAGAGTACTACTGAGTGACATTTAAAATCAACAAAACAGAACTGCCTATATCAACATGAATGAATCCAACAAAAACATAATGTCGGCCCAAGAAGAACACCACAGAAGAATATGTACAATAGACCGTTAAAAATATGCGAAGCCCATGCCATACATTTTTTACAGATACTGACAAATGTAGTACAAGGAGAGAGAGAGAGGTACAGGAATGACAAGCGGCGCCCTCCGGGGTTCCCTCTGGGGGGTGGGGGCAGGGAGGGGTACTGGAGCCTGTAACTGTGTGGTAGGCTTTAGTTCTTAGACTGCAGGGTGTGTGCACAGGTGATCACAGTATCAGCCCCTGGATTTTCCCATCTCTGAAATGCTTCATAAGAAAATGAGAGAACATTGATTGAGTGAATGCATTTCCTGAGCAGAGGCTGTGGGCCCGGCACTGACTGTGCTGGTTGCTGGGGGGGCAACAGGAGGAGAGCTGCCTCTCTGTTCCTGCTGGCTGGTATCCCGAGGTCCCTGCCCTTAGAATCCCTCCCAACCTTGAACCCAGCCCCCTGGCTCACTCCCACCAAGGGCACAGGGAGTGGGAAGGACCTGGTCGGTTGAAGGAAAGGCTCGTTGAGTCAGCCCTAAGGAGACCTTTCCTCTGGAGGATGGAAGCTCCAAAGAGAGCTGAATCTTTGAACTCCTGGAATCTTGTCTAAAATCGTACCAAGTTCCTGATGACTTCAGTCCTACATGCTCACTGGAGAGAATTTCCTCTTAGCCTACCAACCCTTGTTAAGATTTGGAGTTAGGTGGGTGTGTGGTGGGTTTTTTTCCTTCTTTGCAATATTACACACGCAATTTATATCGTGGCGATTAGACTACGTACACAGCGTCGCATCCTGTGCGCTCAGCCTGTCGACGGCGTGGGCTCTCTGGAGATCTATTAAGGACGGGATGCATTGTTCTTTGGTTTGGTGCCCCCTCCTCTATCTGGGGACAGAGTGGGGCGTTAGGGTGAAGCAGCCCCCTCCCAGGCCCCAGCCCCCTTACCTGAAGCTCAGGAGGATGGCCGAGGCGATGACCAGGGCAGAGAAGGAGAGAGCATAGCCCACCGTGTAGATGACGGACAGTGACAGCAGCTGCTCCTCCGGGAAGCTCTGAGTGCACAGGGAGGAATCTGCGTCCGTGGGGAAGCCTGTGCCTTCCTCTCCCACATCCCTCTTTCCCGTGCGACTGGGGCAAAAGCAGGGTCCCAAGTCAGGCTGCACTGGGAACCCCAGAACTAAGAAAGAGAATAATCTATAGTAATGGTGTTTGGACTTCTAGGGCCTGCTCTCAGGCCAGAGAGGTGAACACACACCACCTCTGTCCAGAAATAGTGTGCAGAGACCCCAGAGGCAGAGGGATGGACCAAGTGACCGCAGACCAGGTGCCCAGCATCCTTGCTCCAGTAAAGCTGGGTCTCTGCTACCCCTTGCGGGCTCAGAGCCCCTGTCTTCAACTCACTCTCTCCCCTCGCTTGGACTCCTCACACTCGGACAGGTTCCTCCAGGGCACGCTGGAGTTGTCCTGGTGCAGCCACAGGCCGTCAGCGGTGCAGAACCGGTACACGTGACCCTGTAGCACTGGGGCAGAGACACAGGGCTGAGCCCAGGGCTGCATGCCCCTCTTGCCTCCCACCCCGGGCCACCCCTGCTCCCCCAGATCTGACCCTCAGGGTTAGTAACACCTCTCTCTCACACACACATACACAACTTCCTCCCATTTGCCCATTGGGCCCAGAGACAGGGAAGGTGGTCACTGAGGTGATGGCCACCCAGACCCACCCTCAGCCTTTTCTCTTGGCCACACTGGGATGCAGTTTGACGAAGCCATGTCTCTGAGACGAGAAGACTCTAGCCAATTCCATGTCCCAGCCTCTAGCCTCCAGTCACACCACTGACAAGGTCTGGAGCTGACCAGCAGTGGCCCTGCCCACTCCATAGCCACCTAAGGGTAAGAAAAGTTTTCATAAGACCATAAAGTAATTTGGTTATGGGAAAAAAAAAATTGGTAAATTTTTAAATCAATTGTCAAAATTTATTTTTATCAGTTGCTAACATTTGATAAATTGTCAGTAAAAGGTAAGATGATATTTCATTCCATTAAAATCAGGGACTTCAGTGCATAAAAGTCACCATAAAGTGATTATGAGAGGATATATCCTGAATTAGCATACAGAATATATGATGAATGCCTAAGACAAAGAAGAAAAAGCCAAATAAGCCAATAAAATAGTAAGCTAAGGATATGAATAAGCAATTCACAGATTAAAACATTAAAAATTGCTTGATCTCCCTCTGAGTCAGGGATATGCAAATTCAAATCACAATGAGATATTTCACATACTTCAGATTAGCACCAATTAGGTCTGAAAATACTAAATATGGGTGAGAACTGTTAAGCAAAGGGAACTCTCATTCATTACTGGTGAGAGGGCAAACGGGTATGACCACTTCGGAGAGCAATTTAACACCACCTAATAAATCGCAAAAGCATGCGGTACTCAGACTAGGCATTTCTCCTGGGAGGTATGTGCCCCTGGAGAAATGCACCAGGGGCAGCAGTACGAGTGTTTATGGTAGCTAGGTTTATCACTGAGAGAAGAAAAGAAAAGAAACACCTCGAATGTCCATTAAAAAAGATAACAGATAATCCGTGATGTATCACACAGAGTACTACTGAGTGACATTTAAAATCAACAAAACAGAACTGCCTATATCAACATGAATGAATCCAACAAAAACATAATGTCAGCCCAAGAAGAACACCACAGAAGAATATGTACAATAGACCGTTAAAAATATGCGAAGCCCATGCCATACATTTTTTACAGATACTGACAAATGTAGTACAAGGAGAGAGAGAGAGGTACAGGAATGACAAGCGGCGCCCTCCGGGGTTCCCTCTGGGGGGTGGGGGCAGGGAGGGGTACTGGAGCCTGTAACTGTGTGGTAGGCTTTAGTTCTTAGACTGCAGGGTGTGTGCACAGGTGATCACAGTATCAGCCCCTGGATTTTCCCATCTCTGAAATGCTTCATAAGAAAATGAGAGAACATTGATTGAGTGAATGCATTTCCTGAGCAGAGGCTGTGGGCCCGGCACTGACTGTGCTGGTTGCTGGGGGGGCAACAGGAGGAGAGCTGCCTCTCTGTTCCTGCTGGCTGGTATCCCGAGGTCCCTGCCCTTAGAATCCCTCCCAACCTTGAACCCAGCCCCCTGGCTCACTCCCACCAAGGGCACAGGGAGTGGGAAGGACCTGGTCGGTTGAAGGAAAGGCTCGTTGAGTCAGCCCTAAGGAGACCTTTCCTCTGGAGGATGGAAGCTCCAAAGAGAGCTGAATCTTTGAACTCCTGGAATCTTGTCTAAAATCGTACCAAGTTCCTGATGACTTCAGTCCTACATGCTCACTGGAGAGAATTTCCTCTTAGCCTACCAACCCTTGTTAAGATTCGGGGTTAGGTGGGTGTGTGGTGGGTTTTTTTCCTTCTTTGCAATATTACACACGCAATTTATATCGTGGCGATTAGACTACGTACACAGCGTCGCATCCTGTGCGCTCAGCCTGTCGACGGCGTGGGCTCTCTGGAGATCTATTAAGGACAGGATGCATTGTTCTTTGGTTTGGTGCCCCCTCCTCTATCTGGGGACAGAGTGGGGCGTTAGGGTGAAGCAGCCCCCTCCCAGGCCCCAGCCCCCTTACCTGAAGCTCAGGAGGATGGCCGAGGCGATGACCAGGGCAGAGAAGGAGAGAGCATAGCCCACCGTGTAGATGACGGACAGTGACAGCAGCTGCTCCTCCGGGAAGCTCTGAGTGCACAGGGAGGAATCTGCGTCCGTGGGGAAGCCTGTGCCTTCCTCTCCCACATCCCTCTTTCCCGTGCGACTGGGGCAAAAGCAGGGTCCCAAGTCAGGCTGCACTGGGAACCCCAGAACTAAGAAAGAGAATAATCTATAGTAATGGTGTTTGGACTTCTAGGGCCTGCTCTCAGGCCAGAGAGGTGAACACACACCACCTCTGTCCAGAAATAGTGTGCAGAGACCCCAGAGGCAGAGGGATGGACCAAGTGACCGCAGACCAGGTGCCCAGCATCCTTGCTCCAGTAAAGCTGGGTCTCTGCTACCCCTTGCGGGCTCAGAGCCCCTGTCTTCAACTCACTCTCTCCCCTCGCTTGGACTCCTCACACTCGGACAGGTTCCTCCAGGGCACGCTGGAGTTGTCCTGGTGCAGCCACAGGCCGTCAGCGGTGCAGAACCGGTACACGTGACCCTGTAGCACTGGGGCAGAGACACAGGGCTGAGCCCAGGGCTGAATGCCCCTCTTGCCTCCCACCCCGGGCCACCCCTGCTCCCCAAGATCTGACCCTCAGGGTTAGTAACACCTCTCTCTCACACACACATACACAACTTCCTCCCATTTGCCCATTGGGCCCAGAGACAGGGAAGGTGGTCACTGAGGTGATGGCCACCCAGACCCACCCTCAGCCTTTTCTCTTGGCCACACTGGGATGCAGTTTTACGAAGCTATGTCTCTGAGACGAGAAGACTCTAGCCAATTCCATGTCCCAGCCTCTAGCCTCCAGTCACACCACTGACAAGGTCTGGAGCTGACCAGCAGTGGCCCTGCCCACTCCATAGCCACCCGCTGCGACTTCCAGTTCTTGGCACCCGCCTCCCTCCAACACTCCCTGTGCAGAGCAGACCTTGGAAACAAAGGGGCGCAGAGCTTCTGAGACAGAGCACGGCCCTGCCCTTGGGAAGCCCCAGTCTGAGGGGAGACATGGCCCTGCCCTCGGGGAGCCCCAGTCTGAGGGGAGACACAGTCCTGCCCTTGGGGAGCCCCAGTCTGAGGGGGGACACAGCCCTGTCCTCGGGGAGCCCCAGCCTGAGGGGGGACACAGCCCTGCCCTCAGGGAGCACCAGTCTGAGGGGGGACAGAGCCCTGCCCTGAGGGAACCCCATCTGAGGGGAGACATGGCCCTGCCCTTGGGGAGCCCCAGTCTGAGGGGAGACATGGCCCTGCCCTTGGGGAGCCCCAGTCCGGGTGGGGGACACAGCCCGGCCGTGAAGAAGTCCTAATCTGAGAAAAATACACAATCCTGTCTTCAAAGACCGCCTCACCTAAAAGGACTTTATAGTTGGTAAGAGACACAGCCTGTGGAGACCCTCCTTTCAGAAGGTGGGAGACCCCACTCCTCCCTTCAGGTTGCCCCTGGTCAGATGTTGGAGATGGGGCCCGCCCACAGAGACCCCCTCGTCTGACCAGAGGGAGATCCCAGCCCGTGCCCAGGGAGCCCCCAGTCTGGAGGAGGAAGCACAGTTCCTGGTTTCAGGGAATCAAAGACGTCCTCAGAAAGGAGCAGCCTGAATGCAAACCGAGAGGGGCCCAGCACAGGCCCACCGAGCTGGGGCAGGACCCCTGCCTGAGCCTGTGCGCCTCGTGTCTGGCACCCGGGCACGGAGGCAGCCCCCCTGCCATGCTTCACTGCCTGCCTACCCCGGGGGGAGGTGATTTGTGACCCCCAGGTTTGCTGTGAGGTGACCAGAGGGGAAAGTGGCTTCCCTGTGCCTTGGGAGGAAATGCCTCCTTATCTCTCTGCAGAATGTTAAGTCTGACCCCAGGGCCAGGAAACCAGGGACAAAAAGTGGGGAAGGGTTGGCACAGGGGGATCAAGGAGGGAAGCTGAAGCCAGGACAAATTTTGAAAGACTCTGGAATTCAAAAACTAAATGATTTTAAAGACCAGCTCTCCCAGCTGTGGGAGGAAGGCACAGAGTGAGAGAGGGAGGGAGGGATAGAGAAGCCACCGAGGCCCTGGCTGGCAATGGCTATTAAGAAATTTCCGGGTGGAGGTGGGGTTAGAACTGTGTCTATGGGAAGAGGCTCATTAATGTGTGTGTGGCAGGAGCAATGCCACAAGGGCCCAGAGGGACTCAGCTAAGACTGGGCCTCTATTTACAGTTCACAAACCATCCATCGATGAGCCCGCTGTTGTTTTGTGCAGGGAGACCTCTAACTCAGGGTGCAGCGACAGCCCTCCTCCAGCACTGTCGGGGACCTGCAGGGCCTGTCCTTCAGACCCTTGTTTTCCTTGTCACTGACCCCTGGTCATCTGTGCTGCCTTACTGATTGCTCTTCTCCTTTGGCCCCCTCCCTTTCATAAACAAACCTGAGCCAAGTCCCTCTCAGGAGACAGAAGTATCCAGTAATACAGGGGGGTGGTCAATCAACTTGCAGCATCACTATTTTTAGAAGAACCTGAATTATAAGAGATTTTACCTGCAGGAGAAACAAATACTGGAAGATCTAATGGTGGGACTTCCAGCAGTGGGGGGAGAGCTTAGTCCTAAGACCCCTCTAATGCATTTATGAGCAAAATTGGGCAAGGACAAAGGTAGAGAAGTGGGGGGTATGCGGTCTGATGTTAGCAACTGAAGGCTCCTCAGCTCCTCTCAGGCCCCTGAATGCCTCTCTTATCTGCTGCACGGATGCCTGGAATGCTTAACCAGGGCTCAAGTCTTCTGCTATGAGGCCAAACCAGTCTCTAGTGGCAGATAACCCTGAGCGGTGATGGGGATCTGGGCTGACTCCACGGGGGAAGACTGATGCTGGAGCCTTCTGTGGCTGCCCGTTTTGGTGGGTGAAAGTGGGGAAAAAAGGAGACAGGGGTCAGGAGAGGTGAGAGGCCATGGTGATGGGGCACAAGCTACTGAGCCACCCATTTACTACCCACAGCAGTGCAACCCTAGTTAACACCCCCTTGTCATACCTGGTACAGGGCCTGGTGTATGCAGGTACTCACAATTGCCCATTCACTCCCTACATGCCCCTTACACACCTTTTCTGTGGACTGCACAATCACAGAATTGTTTTTTAAACACCTGCTGAATGCGTGACACCTTTGAACATCACAGCCACCTTACAAGGTAGGCATGGCTAATCCCATTTTACAGATGAAGAAGTTCAGCCTCTAAGAGGCCAAATGACTTGCCCAAGATCATTGAGCCAGGAAGTAGCAGAGTCACGATTCCACCCACCAGATCTTTGCCACCAGAGGCCAAAAGTCAGCAGCCAACAGTTAACAGTCAACAATGGCCATGTGCCATTTCTTCCTCTGCCTTCCCTGGGCCTGGCCCTGAATTCACAAACCATTCAATGTCCTCCCAGCACGTACTCTTGCCAGTGCTGACCCCTGGCACAGCCTGTGCGGTTCCCAGGTCCATCATTCCCAGGGCCAGATGGGAGGATGGGGGGGATGGAGAGTGCACAAATGTGCGTGTTACTGGCACAGTGTCAGGATCGCTGCATCCCTGAGAAGCTCTGTGAGCCCATGAGAACATGTCTGTCAATTATTCTTCATTTGTGGCAAATATTAAAAGCCAGGGCTGGTTCCTGGCTGGGCCTGTGGTCCCCAGACGCCCATCTTGGCTGGAGGTGGGGTGGGTCTGAGCACAGCCCTGCTTATCAGCCTAGCTTTATCAGGCCCAGGAGCTGTGGTAAATCACAGCCAGGGGCTTGGCTCCTGTCTTGTCAACACTAGGAGGCAGCGGGCTGCATGCCAGGAGGCCCAGGGATACTTCATAAGTCAGACCCTGGTGCTGGAAATAAAACCCCCAATTAAACACTTCCCCTTCCGGAAACTGCAGCAGCTTCTGTAATCAAGCTAACAGCCGTCCTTCTACGCAGATGCAGGCACTCGGGGCTGAGGTGCTCATGAATCCATTAGCTCCTGCACCCTGGCAGCAACGGTGGCCAGCAAGCACTACCAGCCTATCTCATAGATCTGGAAGCGGAGATTCAAAGAGGGCTGTCGCAGGCCCTCCTGCAAACTGGTGGACTAGGGTCAAAGGCAGAGCTCTAACTGAAGGCCTCAGCCTGAGTGGTATGAACACTCATGGCGTATGAGGAGGAGCTCAGGTTCTACACTACGCAGGCTTGAGTTCAGAATCCTGGTTCTGCCCTCAACCAGCTATGGGATCTTGGGCAGACCTCCGTGAATCTGTTTTCCTTATCTGTAAAGTGGGAACCATAATGACTTCCCAGATTTCTTTAGGAGATAGTGTGAAGTGCATAGTAGGCTTCAAACCCAGGTCAGATCAGAAGCCCTGCTGCTGTCCCCACCCGTTTCCCAGAAGGGCACTCCTTTACTGAGCCTGGGGCTGCAGCTCATCACACCGCCTCAGCCAGACTCTCCCAGGGCCCAAGTCGGGCCTCCATCTCCCCCCAGCAGTGCCAGCCTGCCACGAAGGCTCCCAGGCTCACCATTACTCAAGGGGGGCACCTGCCAGAGTTCCTGAGAATTGTGAATTACAGACTATTTTAAAAGCATTTTATGACTCTTGTATAATTAGAACTACGCTAACAAACAGGTAGAGATCAGGAGGGGGTGCAGCTAATGAGACCAGAATGATTTGTGATGAACAAATCCGCTCTTTGTGGGTAAATGAGGCAAGTGGATGGCCCTCAGGAACAACAGGCTCTCTGAAGCCACTCCAGCCTCCTGGTTTACAGAGAAAGTCCTGTTGATACCAGGCATCTCCTCTGAGCACCTTCCTTCCTTGGCTCATCTGCTCCTGCTCTCTCTCTGCAATCCGGAGTCCTGGATTCTGCATTAGAGGGGTCAGAATTCAAGGGCCTGGCGGGCTCCCCTGAGGAGGTGTGTAGCCCTGAGGCTCGAGGCCTGGCCCCGCCTCCAAGGTGGTGCCTGGAAGTCCCCTCTCCCCCTTCTCCACCCACCTGTTCTTTCAGGCTGGGCTTCAATGTAGCCTCTCTCTGGAAGCCTTCCTGATGCCACATCCCCAGAAGAAGTGGCCCTGAACTCCCTCAGCACCCTTCCTGGGCCGCTGAACTGGCCTCATCAGCCCCGAGGTGAGGGGTCACTCCTTCTCCCTAACACATACCCCACTCACATCTAAGGTCTCACTGGCTCCGCTAGCCCTGACACAGAACTAACCCAGATGTCTGGCAATTGTTTCGCATTTAATTCTTTCTCTAGTCGCTCATTCCTCTGCTCTGCCCTGCCCCCCAGAAGGCTGACCCCAAGCAACACTTGGGCTGCCTGCCCTCTACGGGTTTGACCAATGACAGACACCAGCAGAGGGCAAAAGGGCAAAGAGAGAGGTTGGGGTATATATCCTTTGCCTGTTTCCTGCCTTGATGCTGAGGTTCTGGTAGTAGCTTTGCTCTTCTGCAGCCACAGTCCTGCTGGTAGCCTCTCCATCACCATGACCTCCAGTTGTCATAGGGGGTCCCATTGGCCCCATTCCTGCCCCACGTGGGTCTACTGGTGCTAAATCTTCTCCCTTTTGTAGTCCTAGGCACTTTGTGTACCTTACTGCCCCTTACTCCTGCCCGACCTCTGTAAGTGGCCCCGCCATTAAATCCTTGTCGATTTCCCAGCTGTATGTGTTTTCTGCCAGGACCTCTTCCTTGTCCCCACCCCTAACTCACACTGAAGTTTCTCCATAAGCTACTCCGTTGATTAGCCCAAGAAAGCTCCAGAACTGCCCCCTTCCTGTTCCCATGTGCCCAGCGTGGGGATGAGGGAAGCCCTCAGTGCCAGCCTCTGCCAGGGGACTACCAGAAAAGGCCAGAGATAGCAGCTATGCTGTGGGAGCCCACGGCGGGTGTCTCTGTAGGTCCCTAACTCAGGGAGAAAGGAGAGGGAGGCAGAGTAGGTGATTCCAAGTGTCAAAAAAGGGAGCAAATTAGCTTGTGGAGTCAGGGCAGTGGGGCGAACTGGCGGGGGGCCCTGTGCAGCAGCTATTATCTTCGTGGAGAAAGCAATAAAACTGTGTTCGCTCATAAATGGGCACCACCAGGACCTATTTCCTGCTCAAATAAAATTAAAGGTGATGGATGGAGTCACAGCGGCGGGCAGAGCTGAGGGTGGCTTAGTGCTGAGTGATGGGCTCTGGCTTGTGCCTGGCTCCCTGGGGTCCAGCGGCCCAGCCCAGGCTGGCTAAGCAGCCAGTCCCAAAGCTTTGGGAGGCAGGGAAAGTGTGTGCATTGTGGGAGGTCAGGGAGGTAAGCAGGGTGAGTAGAAAAAATTAACAGCAACCATTTCTGAAGAACCTGCAATCTCTCTAATGCCCCCACCACCTGGCTTTACCCCATCTCCCAGGTGAATGAGGTGAGGCAGAGAACTCTGAAGATGCACAGCTCACATGGCCACTTGGAACACTGACAAGGAGAACTATTAGACTGTAGGACTCAGCCTTCTCACCTATAGGGAGAGGGCAGGCAGCTCACAGCCGTCTCTCGGGGCATGCCCAGCCAGCAGAGGCCCTGGACACTCACCTGCCTCCATGCCCAGGGCCACACACACAGGAACGTGCATGTATACACACGTGTGCACACACACTCAAGAAAGGCTGGCATAGCACTTAAACACATTTACTCTAAACCAGACTGCTGGACTGATTCCTTGGTTTGCCACTCCAGCTAAGTGAGTTTGGAAAAGTCACTTAGCATCTGGGTGCTGTCTCCTCCTCTATAAAACAGCTGGGTAATAGAGTACTGCCCCTTGGGTTGTTGGGAGGGTTAAATGAGCACAGTACGTCAGGTGCACCCTACAGGCCACAGAGGCACTGTGTGGAGGGTCACTGATCCGCTCTGTGTCTTACCCAGGTGTCTGCCTCCTTCCAGGCCCAGGGTCACCCTGGGTACCTCAGGGTCGGGTGGGTGTACCAGGAGGGCAGAAGAGAAGAGAGACTCCTTAGGACTCCTCCCTGGGCTTCATCTGACCTTAGTCCCAAGTTCTGAGATGAAGCTCACCCTTCCTGGTGCCTTGATGTTCTGCTGAGGGACCACCTCCTCCAGGAAGACCCCTGGCTTCCCACAGTATGACTTCATTCTCATCCTTGCTTCTGGGCTGATTTCTGCTTGGTCTCAAGGCACAGTGGTTAAGAGCACAGGCTGGATTCAAATCCTGGCTCTGCCATTTACAACATCATCTGGAGCAAGTGGCTTAAATTTTGTGCAGCCTCATCTGTGCACAAGCATAACCAACGGGTAGTTGAAAAGATTAAATGAAAACCCTACTTTTAGGGTAGGACTTGGCACACAGTAAGTACTCAGAAAATATTAGCTACTACTACTAGAAGAGTGTCTTTTCTCCCCTTATGGAGACTGATCTCCTTGAGGCAAGGGTGCTGGTCTCCTGTTAGCTTTTCTGGTGGCTGGGACAGACAGGGGGAGCAGCGTGCATTAACCACCCTTACTGTCAGAGCACCCCCACAGGTTCCGTAGGCCTCTCCTCCAGGACCCCCTCTCCTGCCCAATCACTCCTTTCCGAGAGCAGGGTGTCCCCTGCAGGCAGCAGTGAGCTGGGAAGGGCCCGAGGGACAGCCCCATCAGTGCCCTGATCCCTCCTCCCAGCTGGGTTCATCTGACTAGTGAACCCCTGAAGAATCAGGAGGTGGCCAGGGGCATCTACCAGGCAGGGGCATCTATGAGAACATATGAATATATACACATACACCAGAACAATGACACCCCTAGTCTCCAGGATCCGCTCCCCTGGCTCCTCCTCCAAGTGCTCAGTGGGGTGGGGGGACTCATGTTTCTCTCTTAAGACAGACCCTCCACCCCAGCTGCTTCACCTGCCAGCACAGGCCTCAGGCCCAGGTTACACCTGATACCCTCCCCCCATCCCAGGAAAGACAGACAGACCCCCCCCCCCTCCGCTTGGAGGCCTGAAGACCTTCCCAGGTGGGCTGCGCTATGGAAAGGAGCAGCACGCACCCTGAGCCAACTCCACCCCTGCCCCAGCCATCTGGACACGGGGGAAGGGAGGTCTGTGTGGGGGAAGGAGACTCACCACTGCTGGCCCAGGGCAGGTACCAGGGGCAGCTGACATTCACGAAGGACCCAGGCAGCCCATCTGGCCAGCAGACATAGTCATCAAAGGTCCGGTTGCAGAACAGGCCTGGTGCAGGGGGAGCAGTGTCTGAGTCCCAGCCTGGCCCGGCAGTGGCACTTGCCCTCCGCTCTCCACCACGGACGCAGGTGTGGCAGAAACCTGTGCTCTGCTAACCTCTGCTGAGCACTTACTCTATGCCAAGCCCTTCTCTACCCAGCAGGTGCCAATCAAGGGGACTCAGCCACTTACCAGCACTGGGACTTAGAGCAAGTTATGTAATGTCTCTGCTCCTCATTTGTAAAATGGGGGTAACCCTAGACCCACAGAGCCTTGGGGACAAACAGTGTATATTACATAGATACCTGAGCACAGAAGTGCTCAGTAAGTGATCCCTATAGGTCTAGTCTTAGATTCTACATCACAGAGAAGGGGGGGATGTAGCTCATGAGGCTGAAACAGCTTCCTAAGGTCCCTGTGTTAGGACTGCAGGATCAGGATTTGAACCCAGGCCTACCTGGCTCCCTTTGCTCTTTAAGCCACCCCACAAACTCCCCTGAAACATCTATTCCTATACATTTGCTGGTGGCTCTTCCATCTCCTGCACAGACCTGAAGAGCTGAGGAGGGCACAGAATGGAAAGGCCAGGTTCCTGCTCCTGAGGAGTCTGAGGCTGGAGTGAGGGGAGAGGGGAGGTAATACAGCAACAAGACGCACCCCAAGGCCTCAGGCAGATGTGGCATCTTAAGAGAGGCAAATGATGCCCCACCATGGCTTGGGGGGTGGCCTTAAAAGCCCCTGGGGAGTTGGTTGGGTGAGGGTCCCACCTGGACTCACCTGTGGCTGGGGGTGGAGTCTCAGTCAGGAAGCGCTGGCACTGGCGTCGGTATTCTCGCCATTTCTGCACAGTCTCTGAGAGGGATACAGAGGCACCCTGCAGGGGAGCAGAAATGGGGCCTCCTGGGTCCTGCCAACTTCTCGCATACCTCCCACCCCACCCTGTATACTTTGTTTCTTGATCTCCAGGGGACCTTAGAGCCCCAAACTCCACGGGGCATTAGCACCTCTGAAAGGGGGAGAGAACAAGTCTCTGCCGTGGAGGGACTCCGAGTGGATATTCTCCGGTCTTTATCCCTCCCAGAGCGCTGGTGCATAACTTGATGTGTTGCAAGTGGCCAGCAAAAGTCTACTGAAGTGATCCTTGCAAGGGGTGAGTGCGGGAGGGGGTAAGGGAGAGTGTGTGTCTTATTCATGGTCTCATCTGACCTCACGTAGGAGAGAACCTGAGGCCCTAGGCTTCGAGACTGCCACTCACTCACCCTGCTCCTTTCCAGTGCCCAGTCAGCCTGCCTGCAAGGTTCTCACACTTTCAACCATTCTAGAAGAGGACATGCAAGCCCAGAGTTGGAGGGGGACTCATTCAAGATCGCACAGAGCCCAAAGACCAGAGCTAGGACCTAGAGTCTCCCAGGTCGGAGACTGTGATGGAGTACTAAGGGTGTGTGGCACGTGGGACTCAATGCTACAGAGCCTGGGAAGGATACGCCATTAGCATCCCTTCCGCAGAATGCAATCATGTACCTGAAGGCCAAGGGCATCCCTCAGTGACCCCTTCTAGTAACACAATACAGATCCAATATTCAGCCCAGCTTCTATCAACTGGAGAATTCCTGAGGACATGGGGTGAGGGGACTAGAAAGTTCTAGAACACAGAAATCAGGCCCACAATGGAAGGGGTCCCCCTATCTGTGAGTAGGGGGATATGAACCTTAATTTTCAGATAAGATAACAGAACTGCCTTTTTAACACAGAGGCCCAAACAGACCCACCCAGGTGAGGACTCTCCCTTCAAAACTTTTTTGTGCACTTCCTGTAGATATGCCTCAGGACTGTGTGTGTTTTTTATCTGTATTTTTTCCAAGACGGTTTTATAAATATTCTTCACTTAGAGGCTGCAGATGCTGAAATGACCAGAGAGCCCCTTGTATAACATGTAGGGCTTATACATAATTTAAAACAAAATTTCATTTTTCAAAACCACAAAAATACACACGTGTGCTGAAATTAAAATAGCTTCCTTTTGGAAGCTTGTCCCCTTGACTGGTGGTGTCCTAAGCATATGCTGGCTCTCGTTTCTGGGTGACCCTGCAGTAGGCACCAAGGCAGGGCACCCCAGAGTATTCCGTAGTGACGGGCAGATTATTTCACAGTTGCGAACAATCAAGCCCCAAAAGACTCAGAGAGCAGCTTTGACCTCCCACCCGCAACTGCATAAAAATAACTGAGGTGGAGGAACTGCTCCAGGAGGCAGCGGTCACCATAGCAGCTATATTATAGGGTAAACTAGGGGTGTTCAGAAAGGAAGGTGACGTGTTAAAATTCCTCTCTGTACCCCATTGTTTCTGTGTGGCCCATCAAGTATTTTGTTTACTAAATATTTACTCTTTCCATATTCCTGTAAATTACTTCCCTTTTCCTTTGAAGTCTCAGACCCCCTGCCCCTTCTCCTTGGTTCAGGATGATTACATACCGCCTTCTCCGGACCTTCTCGGAACTCCTGTCTATGGCTTCCCCAGGCAAACGTGATTACTTTTTTCCTCCTGTTAATCTGTCTTACATCAATTTGATTCTTAGACCAGCTGGAAAAACCTCAAGGGGCAGAGATTTCTTCCTCCCCGGCACTGCCCCGGTGTAAGCCGAATTGTAGTTTATAAGACACCTCCCACAAAGACATTGGTTGTCCTGTGCTCAGTCCTGCCCACCAGGAAGCCCCAGGCAGGGCCCGAGCTTGCTTGAATCCCAGCCACATTCTTGGAGAGAGTGTGCTGAGGCCACAGGTGGGGCCCTCTGAAGGACAGAGTTCTTCTGAGGACAAAGGGCAAGTGTACTTGCTTAAAAAATGAATAAAAAGAACAAAACATCAAACACAACAGCAAAGGCACTGTCATGATTTTCGCTACAACTGAGGGGTTGGCACTAGAGGCAGTCCTGGGGGATCAACCCCACGCAACCCGCATTTCCTTCTCCTCGTTGCCCCTGAAGCAGCAGCTGCTGGGGGTGGGAAGGCGGAGACACCGGGAAGAAATCCCTCTCGAGCTCTCCAGGAGGTAAGCGGCCAGGAAGCAAGGTCACTCCTGGGAACTGGGGCAGAAGGTGCATCTGGGGCAGGGAGTCTCGGGGTGGGGGTAAAGGCTAAGGACAGCACTATGAAGGCCAGCCTGGCCGCAAACACCCCAAGGAGCTTCAAGACAAAGGCAGTTGTCACCTGCTGGGAGCAGAGCCTCTCACATGAAACTAGACTGAGGCTGCCTGAGGGCAGGGCTGTGTCTCTCCCTTCAGGACTGCCTGGCAAGAGGGGTGCTGTGTCTTCTTCCTGTACTAGTTCAGGGTCTCCAAATAGTGCGCACTGCAGCCTCGCCAAACACATACAGCACACACTACCCAGACCGCCAGCCTCTCCCTGACCTGTGTTGATGGAGACCATATTGTGCCGGCTCTGGGTGGTGGAGGGGGATGGGGTGACTTGGGGGAACAAAGAGATGAGTACAGAGCTCTGGCCTGACAGTCCCCAGGCTACCAAGTGGTGGGGTCAAGTGCTTTGCAGGATGTGACAGAGGTGGCAGTGGGTGACAGTGCTCAGGGAGTGACTGGGGCAGGGCTCAGTGAGACTCAAGAGCCTGGGCTAGCAAGGGTGGATGGTGGGCATTTCAACAGGAGGGCCCAGCAGGGACAAAGGTGCACAGGTGGTGACCTCGATGATCCAGTGAGCAGAGGAGAGCCCTGGAGTGGTGTTCAGGAGGATTTTCTGGGGCAGGAGGACAGCAGTGGGTAGGACCTGGGACAGACAAGACGGATGGATGGTCTAGGAAGGGGCTGGCGGCCACCCTGTGCATCAGCACCTGGTGTTCAGATGGCCACAGTAGTACAGTGAGAGTGAACAGCCCCGACTTTGGGCTCAGATCTGGGTCTGACCCTGGATGCCCCATAAATGAGGTTTGGGACATTGTATGAGAGTTTTAACTTATGGCCTCAGGTGGAATAACAGTCCCTACCAGCCCAGGAGCATTGTGAGGATTCAGTGAGTTAGTGCTTAGCAGGGCCGCTGGTGCACGGAGAATGCAGCCAGTGGCAGCCGTTCTCATGGTGTCTCCTACTCACAGGACAGGGCAGACTGAACCAGGCAGCCTGGCTTCCTGGGAAGTCTGGGCCCCATCCCCCCTCACTTCTGATATCCAAAAGCTCCCAGAAGGAGGAAATGAACATATTTTCACACCAAGGACCAATCACTTCACTTCATTTGTGACATCTTCCATCAGCAACCATAGCTGGTGGCAAAGCCAAGTGGGGATTCTGAGGACTCTGTGCCCATGGGCAGGACCCAGCCCACCAGATCCGCACCCCATCTCATCCTCCTCTGCGTGAGTCCTGGCTGCAAGCCTGGTGGGCTGGGGCTGAGGCTGCTGGGTTGTGGGGAGCAGGCAGCGGTGGAGGGTCCTTCCCCTCGCAGGGCAGCAGAGCCAGCCCATGGTGCAGGGCATTGGTGGGGGGCCTACAGGGCTGGGGTGAGGGCAGCTTGGCAGGTTTTAGAACTTGGACCTGCCAAGATTCATGGGCTCTCTCTGAAGGGGATGAAGGCAAATGTGGACATTGCCTGGGATGGAGGGGGCATCTCTCAGCTTTGGTTTGGGGAGGAAGCAGGTGAAAAAGGATGCCAGGAGGGAGTGCTGTGCAGGAGAACATGCCAGGCAGAGAGTCACGAGCCCTCAGATTATATCCCAGCTCTTTTAATGTGGGGCTGATGCGACACACTTTCACAGAGGCCCCAGTTTCCTCATCTGCAAAATGGACTCCCCATTCTTCCCAAAGAATTATTGAACAGATTCAGCAAGATGAAGCATCTTTATGGATTATCAAGCCCTATACAATCGGGTAGTGTTAGAAGGAAGAACAGCATAGGCAGAGAAAGATGCGGATGCAGTGGTCACTGTCAAGGTGACGGGGCTTCCCCACACCCTGCAAAGGCAATCCCTCTCCAGAGAACAGCTGCTAGCCTGAAAAATCCATCCTACAGGTTTATTTTTCATTGTGAACAAGTTCATCTTTCTGGGAACCTTTTTGATTAAGGGGAAGGGGGAAAGAGACCTTGGCCTCTCTGGGCCACTGAGGTGGGAAAAATGGGAGAAGGGCTCCCAAGGACAAACTCTGGGGCCTCCCAACTGATGCGGCCCTTCCTCTTCCCCAGCAGCTCCTTGCAGGCCCCATCCTCCTTCCCCGCTGGCCCCCTCCGAGAACCATCACCACCGGCCCCTGTGCTCTGGTGGGGTGGGGCTGCTGGACCCCTGGCTCTGACCCCCTCTTTTCCCGTAAGGGCCCCAGATATGTGAGCAGAAGGGCTGGGAGAGGAACACCGCACACACGTTCTCCGTGAACAGGAACACTTACATGGAAACAGTCACATACAGTTCCATACACATCACACAGCACATGCTTACATACAGAGACATGACCCATATGGAGCTCACACACACACACAGTTAGGTACATGCTCACATGCTGAGACACTGCCCGCCAACACACACAAGCATACATGCATACAGATGCCTTGACTGACATACTCAGCTCCCACTGTCACACATGTGCATGCAGAGAAACAGCCACGCATTCTGTCCTGAGCCCATTCGCCCTACCAGCACACGGGCACGTACTAGAAAACACCCATTCACACACTAAGATGTCTCACATGCACAGAGACCTTCCCATCACACATGGAGTCACAAAGGCATATACACTGTCAGACACACAATTACATGCTGAGGTGCTTCACACACACCGAGTCGCACACAGGCAGACTGACACACAGGTCCACATACAAATACACCCAGAAATGACTCACACAGCCCACACCCCTCTCCGCCTGGTCTGTCTCTCTCCACCTATCTCTAACTCTGTATCTCTGTCTCTCTGTCTCTCTCTCTCTCACTTACACACACACACACACACACACACACACACACACACACACGAATCTGCTTAGGGGGAGGCTGCAGCTAAGGAAGGGCCTGTCTCCTCAGAGCAAGGTATTCGAGGGCAGGATGTGGTTTCGTGGTTGTTCCTGCCCCGGCCCCCACCTGGAGTCCATGTCCGGGAGGGAGCCCAGCTCAGAACAAAGTCCATGCTGACCGCTGTGCACTGGGGACTCCACCACCCTTCACAGGAGCGCAGAAGTGCAGGCCTCCAGCAGCCCTGCTCCAAGCCTTGTTCTGCTCCCGTGGGAAGGCTCCCAGACTCCCGAGGGCAAACAGGTCAGCTCCCCCAAGTGACTAAAGCTGCCGTTTCAGGGTGCCAGGGGCTCAGTCCCCTCCACAACCCTATGGAGTAGAACTTGTGATCCCTGTTTATAGATGAGAAAACTGAGGTTTGGATGGTCAAGTTTTCTACCCAAGATCACCAGCTAATAGCAGACCCAGTATATGACCCAGGTTTGTTTGGTTCTAATTTTGGGTGTCAGAGGCTTGCCTGTCTCCTCAGTAGGTCCCTCAAAAACGTCTTGGGGGGATAAGGAATGGGGGTTCCTTTCTAGCAACAATGAAGCAGTGGCCTTGGTCCCCTTCTTCAGAGGTCAAGTAGGCCATCCTCCTGTCTGCAAGGAGGTTTCTTCCAGCCTGGCCGGACCTGACGGCAGACAGCTCATTCTCTTCTTCCATCAGTCCGCCTGAGTAGGCAGATATTAGGCACCAGCCCAGCCCTGCACCCCTTTCTTCAATCTCTTCCTGAACCATTGGGTCACCATATGCAGGGAACACTCCTTTTCTGAGCCTTTGTCCCATCAGTTAAATGGAGGGATTAACTCTGTTCTTTGTTGACCACATGAACAGAAAATGAAATGCAATATTCACTGTTTTTTGAAGTCTTCAACACAGGCATGAGGGAGTATCACAATTAGTGCAGTCTAAACTCAAAGCTCCTGTCGCTCAAATCTCTAAGTGCCCAGGGGTACTCAGTGCCCCTGCAACAGCATCCTCAGAAGTGCTGCCCTTTCTACTCAGAGCCCGGTGCTGCCCCAGGACTGTTATGGTTATGCCCCAGGATACTCAGCTTTTGCTCTGGCCCAAGGCTGAGGAATGAGGGTATTTTAGAAGCGCAGTTTCAAGACCTCTGGGGAGAAGACAGGCGGTTTCTGAAACTCTCCTTTTCCCTTAGTATGAACTGAGTCTGCACACTTGGACTGGAGCAGGAAGGGACCCAGAGGAGGAGGTAAAGGTGAGAGAGAGGTGAGTGATGGGTCTCCAGCCCTGGCTCTGGGAAGTCCAAAGACACCAGGAAGCCAGAAGCTGAGGGCTGGGGAAGGTGCTGTGGGTGGGGAGGGTGTCTTCTGTGACTAGGTGGCAGGGTCTGGGGGACACAGAGAGGGAAGGAAGGAGTCTGGAAAAGAGTATGGGGGCTGAAAATGGGCTGGCACCTGAGCTGGGAGGCACAGCTGTCCATATCTGGGTTATTAGTCAGGGGCAGAGTCAGCCCTCACCAGGGCAATGGCCTCACATCCTGCTTCCCACCTGCACACACTTGCTGGAACAAATTTCAAGGGCTGTCTAGGCCCACTCCCCAAAACCCTCAGTTCTTTAGGTCTGGGAATAGGAGGGGGAGGTGATGGGGAGAGAGTTCCCTGACATAAGACAGGCCACCCAAGTCTGTGCTTCCTCTCTGCTCAAGCATGGCACAGCATCTCTGGACAGCTCCCCTCTTCAAAAGCAAGCTGCCAGCAGCCCCCAGCCAGGGCAGGAGCCCGGAGGCAGGAAAGGCAGGGAGGACAGTAAGGCTGGAGAATGGCACCACAGGGGTCCACCTGTGGCCTGTTCTCCTGTGTCATCAAGGGGGCCAAGATGTGTCTGTGTCTCCCTGTATGTCTTGAGGTGTGTGTTGTCAACCAAGGAGGGGTCGGATGACTGTTAAGAGCCAGGCCTGGCTGCTTCCAGAGGAGCAGGGAGCCTCCTACGCATTTGCTGCAGGGGTTGGGGGGGCACCCAAGTTCCATCTGGGAGGTCATGAGGAAGGACAACAAGCTGCCACTGCAGGGTCCCTGGGGCTATGAGTCAGAGGCTGGGTGACTGGTGCTAGGGGGCTGGTGAGGGGCGATGGGACTGGGTGCCTATACCCTGGCTCTCTCCCGGCCTCTCAGGGTCTTTGAGGAGTAAGCCCGGTGGTTGGCGGGTAGGCACCGCAGGACAGGGTTGGGCCATAGTGGGAGAGATGAGGTCGGGGTAGGGGGCGAGACCCCGCTGTGCTGGGGCTGCTGGCACGGGTTCAGGAGGAGGAGGAGTTGGGAAAGTGGCCTGTGAGCTGTGGCGCACAAGTCGGTACAGGGCGGTCGCGGACAGCTAGCTGTGCGCTGGTGGAGGGGCCCCGGAGGCGAGAAGCGGGCGCCTCGCCGGGGTGGGACAGTCGTCCCCATCCAGGCACCCACCTCGGCCACCCAGCCCAGGGCGCCCAACTCTCCAGTCCCTACTCCCCCGAGGCTTCTCTTTCCTCCGCCTGCGGTCGCGGAGTTTAGCTCAAGTCCGGGCCACTCCTGCCCGGACACTAAACCTGCATCCCGCAGCGCACCTGCCACCCCGTCCCCGGGTCCGCGGGTCTCACCTGGGGGCGGGGGCCGGCCCTGCCCACCGCCCCGAGCAGCAGGAGCGCGAGGGGGAGCGGGCCGGGGGCACCGGCCATGGCGGGGCGCTCAGAACCGGGCCATCGCTGCCACCTGCGGCACCGCGCTCGGCGACTGGTCCCGGGCGGGCGGCGGCGCCGGGGGAGGAGCCGGCGCGGGGGCCGCCCCGCCCGCGGGAGGGGCGGGCGGGGTCCCGGGTCTTCCGCCCCGGCAGGCGGAGGCGCCTCTGGGCCCGTCCTGGGCCGGGAGGTACCGGGCACTGCGCTCCGGGCGAGCGCCGCTTGGGTCTAGAAAGCGCAGGAGCCCGGCCTCCAGCAGCGAGCGCCGCCCCCACCCCGGCACGCCAACCTTCTCCCGGGCTCCCCCAGCCAGGAAAGCCAAGCCATCCCCACCTGTTCGGGGTACCCCAAAGGAAACTGAGGCCGGTGGAGCGCAGGGGACTTGTCCAAGGCCACACTGCTCCTCAGACCCCTCCCGGAAAGTGTAGCCCCAAGAAATACCGGCCGTCCACAACTCCTCTTCTCATTCCTGGGCTCTGTCCCTAAGGCACCCCTGGGACAGCTAAGGGGAGGGTTGGGGTGGGGTGGGGGCGGGGGTCAACGACTAACGGATCAGTGGAGGCCTGGCTGCCGGAGAGTCCGGAGGATCCCCCGCTCCTGCGGCCTCCGACCGCGGTCTGAGAACCTGCGCGACGGTGTGATAACGCGGGCCCGCGGCTGGCTGTGCTTCCTGTATCTGTCTCCTGCTTTATGGAGTCCCACACCCAAACACCGTGCTGGGCAGTGGGTGCACAGGCCACCTCGGATTCCCTTCCTACCGCCAGGCTGTGGGGGAGAGACAAGAGGTCCCTGGCTTGACCCTCGTAACGCCCTTGAGGAGTAGGGGTGGGAAAGTGGGATACCCCGGCTTGTCCTTACGGCCTTCCCTCAAGATGGGCTCCTGGGAGACCCCAGTTGAAGTCAATGGGCATTTAAGAGTACCCAGGGACGGGAGCATTTGGGTGGCAGATCGCTCAACCTCGCGTTTGAACACCCAGGGGGCCAAGTCCTCTGTGCTCGCTCTGACGCGGCCTCACATCCCTGTGGTACCCCCCTGGGCTGTGACTGTCTCCTCACCAGACCTGGGCTCTGAGAGGGCCTGCCCACTGTATTTCAGCACTGCCTAGAGGGTGCTCAGGGCTCCAAGCCCCTCCCTGGCTCCATCTCTGCATGGTGGCACCCTGTGCTGTGTCCTGATGTTTCCATGGAGGTGCCTTGCACCTGCTACAAGACAGTGCATTGTACATTCGGGGGAATTAAGTCAGGGAAGTAAGTTTCAGAGTCGATCCAAGTTCTGATTCCTTTTTTTAAACAAGCTAACTTCTCTCCCTCCTTCCTCATCCATCTCCAGAGGATTAACTTTCTCAAACTGTAATCTGGCCTTGTCCTTGAGCCCACCTATTGGCTCCCCATCACTCAGGACCAAATGTCAAAACTCTTAGCATTTAATAAGCCTGCTCAGACTGCCCCCAGCTTACCTCCTAACTGGACCTGTTGCAAGTGCTTTCTCCCACCTCTCTGCTTTCACACACTCAGTTCTCTCTGTCTTCACCTACCTCAGCTGCCCAAGCTCCTACCCATGCTTCAGAACCCAGCTCAGGCGGTCCCCTTTCTAAGAAACCTCTCCTCACTGCTGCCTCTCAAAGACCCTTTAAGGCAGCATAGGTGCCCTTGTCAAATGTTATCTGTTGAATTTCTTGGTTTCCCTGTGGGCTCTGAGCCCCTCAGGGGCAGGCTTCTTGTATTGCTCATCTCTCTGACAACAATGCACAGCACAGTACTTGTTTACAATAACCACTGGAATAAATTGAGGCGCTTACAGTGTTCTGTCACATCCTTATTATGACTTCCCTTTATTAGACTGTGAGCTCCTTGAGGGAAGGGATGCTTCCCCATTCATCTCTGGGTACTCAGCAGCAGTACATGCCAGCACCTAGTGGGTGCTATGTTTGTTGCAAGTGTAATGTGTCAATTCAAGTGTGCAGGAAGTGTCTGGCATACAGGAGGTGCTCAAAAACTTAGCAGAAGAAGGATGGGCTGGGAGAGATAGCAGGTTATGTATACTGGGTAGGACAGGTCTGTCTTCTCCCACTCTGTGATCAGGGCTCCTTGCTCAGGCCTTGCTATGGTTGCAATGTTTGCTCCCCCACCAAATTCATAGGTTGAAATCTCTGGCTGAAGAAAACCCTCTCCTTAATGAGACCTGGCAGTGGGCAGGACAGGATCTTTCACTTGGGGAAAGGTTGGGAGGGAGGGATAGGGCAGGCAGAGAGAAAAAGGGAGGAGTTGGAGGAAGGAAAAAGGAACTACTAAAAAACAATAAAAAAACAAACTAGGTGTCTCTTACCTGTATAGTTCAGGTTCTTTTCCAAGCTCGAAGTTCCATAAGAAATTTATTTTCCAAAGCGAAAAACCACTTTTTCGTAGGACCTTTTTGCAGGACCAGGTGAGGAAGGAGCCGATCTGTCTTAGCGTACTATAGCGCACACACACCTACAGAGAGATCTTAGTCTATCAGTCTGGGTCAACTGCAGCTCACTCATTCACTGAACATCTCTGAGCCTTGGTCTCACAATCTGCACAATGGGGATAATAACAGACGCCACCATTGCCTGAGCACTTGCCTCAAGCCTGGCACTGTTCTGGGAGCCATGTGAGTGTTACTTCATTTAATGCTTGCTGGCACCCTCACCCTAGTCTTCCACAGGGGAGTCTGAAGATTTGCTGCTGGGAGAGAGGGAAGCCAGCTGCAGGAGTGGGCCTGGAATCTGTCTCCTGCCAGGAGCCAGGAAAGCCTGGCTGCCAGTAGCTTCCCAGGATGGGTGAGCGTCTCACAGGCAGGTGGTTCTGCAGATCAGGGCTCTCCCCTCAGCCTCCCACTTCTCTTGTGGGACCCTGCTCCTTGCCCCTTGACCTAGCATTTCTGGGAGTAATTCTGGGTTGTTAAGTGAGATCATTTCTAAAGCACAAAGCAGTGAACTAACTAGCCCATGGTGGCTCAAGACAGCCCCAGAGAGCCTGGGTGCACCCCCCCACCCCCAGACCACACACACTGACTCCATAGCCCACATTCATCCATTGCAGAAAGAGTACTTACCTAGAACCTGGCACAAGGGCATCCTTGGCAAATGGCAGCATTAACGTGGTTGTTTTTCCCAGTGGCCCTCCATCTTCCGGGCTGTCGTTGCACCAGCTGTGCCAGGTCTCAGCAAGGCCATAGGCAGCTTCTAATGCCCAGGGCTCCAGCTTAGTACATCCTTTCCTAGTCCAGGTGGCAACAGCCCAGTCCCCCAGGTCTGGGTGAGGGAGGAGGCTGGCTGGATGACAGAGAACCTCCCCACTGTGTGGTGCTGCTATTACTGCCCCCCACTCACCTTCCAGCTGAGGTTCACAGGTGTTGGGTCCTGTCCAGCTGCAGGCAGTCTGCTGGGGAGATTTAGAGTCTCTCGAGCTACAGTGATTATTGCTCTCTTGGGTGGATGCAGCATACCGTATTTCCAAAGTGTCACAGCGTCATTTCATAACTGAGCGTTCTGTTGAGAGAGAAGCCAGTGGGATCCCTCCAACTTTGCAGGGAGGGAAACTGAGTCCCACAAGGGTCAGGGGGACTTGCCTGAGGTCACTTAGCAAGGAGTTGGCAGGGTTTGTTCATCTCTGGACCAAGAAAGAGAAAAAGCAGGTGAGAACAGCAAAGGTCCTCTCTCTTCTCCACATGGGGACTGTGGCCAGCAGTGACTGGGGCTCCCCTGCGAGGGATTAGTGTCAGCAATGGCGAGAAGGTGAGAGAAACCCCAGAGGAGGGAGGGAGTTGTGGGGAGAAGGGCTTGGTAAGAGTGGCAGAACCAGGGAGGATGGCAGGTGGTGCCGTAGGGGCCACCAGTTCTCTTCCTTCTGATGAGAAGGTAGCCAAGTTGGCTTTATGCTCCCCAAATCTGGGCACAGAGCAAGTGTTAGTTTCCTGGGACTGCCATAACAAAATACTATAAACTGGGTGGTTTAAACTACAGAAATTTATTGTCTCACTGTTCCAGAGGCGTGAAGTCTGAAATCTAGGTGTTGGCAGGGCTGGCTCCTTCTGAGGGCTGTGAGCAAGAGTCTCTTCCAGGCCTCTCTCCTAGCTTCTGGTAGCCTCAGGCACTCCTTGGCTTGTAGATGGCATTCTTCCCATGGCTTCCCATGGTCTTCCCTCTGTGCGTGCCTCTCTGGGTCCAAATTTCCCAGTCACATTGGATTAAGGCCCACCCTAGTAACCTCATTTTAACTGGATAAACTAAAAACAGGGTTTGTAAAACCCTGTTTCCAAACAAGTCACATTCTAAGGTACTGAGAGTTAGGATATCTAGATATCTTTTTGGGGGAATTCAACCCATAACACATTGGGAGCCTATTTTCTCATATCTCTTTTCATATTTAGTGCAGGCCAATGGAATATGAAAGAAGGTGGTAAAGACAACCGCCAGGCTTGGCACATAAAACCTCCTGCACATCTTCCACACCCTCTCCTCCCCCCAGCTAGACACAGATGATCCAGGGGAGAACTCCAAGACCCTAGGGGACATGGAACCAAGAGAAGCCTGGGTCCCTGAATGACCGTGTGGAGCAGTTGCCTGCTGACATGCTTTGGATTATTAAACCACTGGGATCTGAGAGTTGTTTGCCACGCAGCTAGCCTACCCTGACAAACACAGCCGGCATGTGCCCCTGAATCAGCCTGTGGCAGGCTAGTTAGTCCAAGTAGAGGGCTTCTGAAAGTCCACTTTTTGTAGCTTCCATTAGGTGAATGGGACTCTTACCCTGGGCGTACCTCCTCCTCCTCTGTCAGTGGAAGGCAACATGGGCAAGGGGATTCTGAGTCTGTGTGGCTGTGGCTCCTGGACCTACAGCTCATTTGTTGTTATCTGTCTGTCTTCTCTATCCTCCATGCCTGGCTATTCCCACCTGTCTGCCTTTTTCTCTGGAGAGAAGGTAGGGGGCCAGGGAGGGGATGGTTACTGACAAACATGTCACTGTCCCCTCACAGAATTAAGACTCTGTAGGAAAAGAGGAAATGTGCCAAATTTCACACCACTGGAAATCAAATG